TTTTTTTTTTTTTTTTAAACAGGGTCTCGCTCTGTCACCCAGGCTGGAGTACAGTGACATGATCATGGCTCACTGCAGCCTTGACTTCCTGGGGTCAAGTGATCCTTCCACCTCAGTCTCCTGAGTAGCTGGGACTACAGCCAGAGACCACCACACCCGGCTAATTTTTATATTTTTTGTAGAGAAGGGGTTTTGCCATGTTGCCCACTCTGGTCTCGAATTCCTGCCTCAAGCAATCCGCCTGCCTCTGCCTCCCAAAGTGCTGAGATTACAGGCGAAAGCCACTGTGCCCAGCTTATTTGAAGTTCTTAGCTAGTTTTAACTTCTTCCATGTGGACTCCTATTTTCTCATTTCCCTTGCCTACCCGTGTGTTCTTGTTCCTTTCATAAGTTATCGTGGGAGAGAACTGACTAAAGTGAGTATAAGAATATTATGTACTCATGATTAGCTTTAGAGCAAAGGAGATAGAATGGTGCATTTAATATTCCAAATTCCAGTATATGTTTACTTTTCAAAGGATGAAGAAAAATTGACCGGGATGCAGTGGCTCATGCCTGTAATTCCAGTACTTTGGGAATTCCGGCACTGAGCCTGGGAGTTCAAGATCAGCCTAGGCAACACAGGGAGACCCCATCTCTACCAAACAAAAAATTAAAAAATTAGAGGCCGAGCGTGGTGGCTCATGCCTGTAATCCCAGCACTTTGGGAGGCCAAGGAGAAAGGATCACTTGAGGTCAGAAGTTCAAGACCAGCCTGACCAACATGGCGAAACCTCATCTCTACTAAAAATACAAAAAATAGCCAGCCGTCGTGGCGCGCACCTGTAATCCCAGCTACTCGGGAGGCTGAGGCAGGAGAGTCACTTGAACCTGGGAGGCAGATGTTGCAGTGAGTCGAGATCGCGCCACTGCACTCCAGCCTGGGGGACAGAGTGAGACTCTGTCTCAATTAAAAATAAATAATTTAAAAAATTAGCTGGGTGTGGTGGCTCGCACCTATAGTCCCAGCTAAGGGACTTGATTAGTCTTGAGCACTAGAGGTCAAGGCTGCAGTGAGACATGATCACACCACTGCACTTGGCCTGGGTGACAGAGTGAAACCCTGTCTCAGAAAAAAAAAAAAAAATACTTAAGTTTCTCTCACCTGGTTTCCAAATCTTTTTGGAGGTTCAGCTTTTCACTTAAAAGTGCATCAATCTGAGAGTTTGACTCCTTGAGTTGATTCTGTAATGACTGCAACACATTTCATAGAAAAATAATTAACTTTCTTAGATTACTTACTTTATTAAAAAGTATTTATTGGTTATGCAGTCCCCATACCATTAAAAGGCCTTTATAAGTTGGTGAGGCATCCAGACTTCTGTAGTCATTTTCTTCTTCTGACTGACTTTCATCTTCTTTATATTGCCTATGAAAATATGCATGCAGTATACTTATGAAAAATCTATCTTCAAAGAAAAAAATCTAATTAAACCAACATAATGAGGGTTTAATCATCTAAACATGAATTAAAATTAATTCAAATTTCCTACTTGTTCTCATAGAGAATGGTATTAGAACACTACTACTATCTATTATTATAGGACATACAATATCCATTTACTCTCTTTTTATTTAGAATATATGATCCATGAGGACCAGAACTTTTGTCTTATTCACCACTGTATCTCACTGCCTAGAAAAACTATGGACTATAAGAGGTGAAAAAGCACTGCCGAATAAACAAAACGAAACATAGGTGGAACATCCAGGTTCTTTCAAAAAATGCATTCACATACTATTTTTTCCTTCTAGTACTTTTAGGTAACCGAAAAACCTATATGAAAAAATGCAGATCATAAGTGGAAAAAGCAACAGATTTAATAGTCTTGGTTCAAGCCTTGATAACACCACTAACTAGTTGTATTATTTGAATAAATCAATCTCTCAGAATTTATTTTCTCATCTGTAAAACAGTATCTGTCACATCTACTTTACAGGACTGATGTAAAAAGCAAACGAAAGATACTGAAGGACTCTGTGAAATGCAAAGTGCTAGCAAATACATATGCTTATTTTTAGCAATCTTGATTAACTATCACTGTGATGTCCTATATGGTAACCAACAGCTACATGAGCTAGTGGTTACCGCTTAACACTTGAAATATGGGTAATGCCACCAAAGAAATAAACTTTGAATTTCATTAAATCTTAAATTTAAAAATTGAAGCAGTATAAAACACTTTTCTGTTAAGTACAACTTTATTGTTTAAGGACTACATTTCGCTTTAACTGTTGCATAAAGTGTTACTATTGTAGCCTAGTGTGCACTGGGTACATGCATGATTTCTAGTATTACACATAAACATATCACCAGTCTAGTAAGTTATCAATGGATTGATTCAGTTCAAATGATTTATTTATTCCCAATGTGTTTATTTTATGCATGTGCATATAGTCTGATGATAAAAACAACAACAACAAAAAAAAACTTTGGACAACACTGGCCTTAAAAAAATGGATAAGCAGAGAAGCTTTTGCCACTGCAAGAGGCCCACGTCCCACCTGTCTTCTTCCTTTGGTCTTGCTGCTTCAGTTCTACAGGTTCATAGCTCTTCTCCTGTGCTTCCTGTTTATCCTACTTAGGCCTCCAAATCTTAGCCTGTCTTCCCCTCTCTCCTCTTTCATCTCTTTACTAATGTAATACTTGTCAATGAATTGTTACATCCTCTTTTTACAGTACTCCTACTTCTTTAGATGATACTTATATCCTATTGGTAGATCTCAAAATCTATCCTGAAATTGCCAGAATCTCACTTTCAAGTTAGTACTCACTCTTAAAAAGGAGACTGAGTTTATAATATAAACTCCGTTCAGTCAATGAATCCTGAAAAACTCCCTCCTTAGGAGACTCTTTTTATTGCTGCAAATTTTCTCATTTGTAGAATATTATTTATTAATGTATCTCATATTTTCTTCCTATCCTCCACTTCCCTCAATAAGACATTCAATCCAAATATCTGACCCAAGGATAATCTGCATAGGCCAAAATACTTTACTTCAGCTAGACAACTAATGAAAAGCTTTTTAAGCTAAAAAGTGATTCTTCTCCAAGTCGCTTGTTCCTCAACCCCAGATTTTCATTACAAATTCATGACAACTAAATTCAATACCACCACTCCAATGGCCTCAATCCTTTTGTCACCTTTAGTCAGAGAACCCCGTTTGCAGAACTCTGTAAGTACCTCTCACATCATATTCTACATGAAAAATTTCCTGATGGCTATGTTATGTTAAATCTATTCTACTCTTACCAAAAACCCCAAATCCCCTCTCTTCATCATCTAGATCAGGGGTCAGCAAACTGCTGTCTGCAGGCTATATTCAGCAGGCTGTTGGTTTTGTAACTATTTTTATTGTAACACACCTGTGCCAATTCATTTACATATTATCTGTGTCTGATTTTGTGCTCCAACAGCCTAGTTGAGTAGTTGTCCTATCTTTGTAGAATCTCTACCATCTAAACGACAGTTTCATTTGGAAGTCAGAAGGTCCCTGATGCTACTTGATAAAATGCTGCTTTCTGAAAAGAATATAAAGCAAGAAGTTGCTTTTTAATTAGTTGCTCTCTTCTCCCTTCTTTCCTTCTTCCTTTTCTTTTCCCTTTCTTCTAATTTTTTTTTCTTTTTTGGAGTCCCCATGGTACTACAGATAATCAGCAACCAGCAACCCACAGAGCTCTGCCATTGTTCTCTCCAAGATTTTGGAAAGTCACTATTCTTGGGGCAAAACTACTCGAGCGTATGCTTCATTAAAATGAAGAATTATCTGCTGTATTATGGGATCCTAATTACTTAGAACATGGTACAAAATAGGTGCTCAAATACAAATTTGTTAAAAGAACTGTTCCATCTATAAATAATAAAAAGATTAGCTACTGTTTTAGTGACCTTACATTAAAGCATTTTAAATTATATCTTAGATATCCTTCAGCTATTTTAGTTTAGCCAAAACCATTTATCTCTATGCTTATTTAATCATGTGATAAGTGTGTTTTAATCTATAAGCTTGATTTTTCACTGACATTTTATGTTTATCTCACATAAATCTGCATACTAATTAGGTTGCACTTTGGCAGGCAGCCAATCTAATTCTATGCACTTTGTGGATATACTCAGTAACTACCCAGGGGCTAGATCACATCAGTAGAAAAAATTGTAATACTTCAAGAAAATAAAGGGAAATACCATTTCCGTTGTGACCAATACTTCGGTGATAAATAAGTATACATAATTTAACATAAATACAACAAAACATCTTGACTTAAGTTGTAAAATACAGTCTTCAAGATCTTTATAAAAAAGAACTTCACAGTGACATATTAGGTGGATTTCCATAGTATATTTAAAGTTTCAAAAGCTACAGAAACTTCTGGTGTGATTACTGGATTAAAAACTTTAAAAACTGTAATACAGGATTATTCGTACCTTTGTGTATGAATTTTTCTAATTTTAGATTCATAGTAATCAATTAGACAAAGCAACCTAGAAAACAGAATATTGAATTATTTTCAAAATGCAGTATTAGAGCAACTACTAGTTTCACTACATAATTTCAAATTACAGTGTAAAAGTAAGTACAGATTATCTGGCAGGCTTTAAAAAATTTAAGTGATTCTTACCAGAAAGCAAATACTATACTAAGCCATATGTTATATTAATTTCAAACTATAGATTTAAAAATAACTATAAACATTATATCTCAACATATTAAATGCATATCCTCCTTGTCCCAACAGTTCTACCTCTAGCAATATCTCCCACAGAAATATGTCAAAGGATGCAACTCAATATGAACAAAGTTGTTCACTGCACCATTATTTATAAGAGTGAAAAGCCAGAAATAATTTAACTCTCCATCAGGAGAAAGGTTAATGGCACATCCATACTATAGAAAATAATGGGCTGGGCACAGTGGCTCAAGCCTGTAATCCCAGCACTTTGGGAGGCTGAGGTGGGTGGATCACGAGGTCAGGAGTTTGAGACCATCCTGGCCAACATGGCGAAACCCCATCTCTACTAAAAATACAAAAAATTAGCTGGGCGTCGTGGTGCGCGCCTGTAGTCCCAGCTACTTGGGAGGCTGAGGCAGGAGAATCACTTGAACCTGGGAGGCGGAGGTTGCAGTGAGCCAAGAGCACACCACTGCACTACAGCCTGGTGACAGGGCAAGACTCCGTCTCAAAAAAAAGAAAAAGAAAAAAAAAAGAAAAAGGAAATAATGGAGAAGTAGAAAAAATAATGTAAATTTGTATGTCCTTAACAAGGAACGATGATGGAAAAAATTAATGTTGCATAATCAAATGTATATTTTTTACCTTTGTCTAAAAAGAAAAGAAAAAAGTTAGATGTGAATATGTATATATACTGAAAAAGAACTCTATGGGTTCTTAACCAGGGAATAAATTGTAACCTAGTGGGTGTATGGAGGGGCAATGTTGCCATATTGACTAGTTGGAGAGGGGGCAGAATGCTAAAAATTCACCAGTGAACAACACAACAATACACAAAGAACTGTCTCACTCAAAATGCCAACAGCACTCCTTTTGAGAAACAGTAGGAAGGACACACACCAAACTGTTAGGAGAGGAGGTTATCTCTGAGATGTTGGGATTAGGAAAGCAAGCAGATTTGTTACATTTTACCATATACACTTTTATATTGTTTGAATTTTTATAAACACTCATTGCTTTTGTGACTTAAAAAATGAGAGAAAAACAAAATAATACTATGCTTTCATGTGTTATTCTTTTTAAAGGAACAATTTATACTGTTTCCCTCCTATCTTGGGAAAACATTACCAACCCATCCCCCTTTTCAGACCTAATTCAGCCAATTGTGCTCTTAATGTCACAACTTTCTAGATTACTCTTTTTCTCTTCAACCCTTCCCCATCTTGACATACACCAGCTTTCACATTTTCTATTTTCCTGAAAATATGCTTTAATCTTTATATCCCACACAAATCCTCTTGACCTACTTCCCCCTTGTGCTACGCTTCTATTTCTAATCTTTTCCTTCACAGCAAACTTCATTCATTCTGCGTGATTGTAACCAATTATCTTCAATAAAGTTTTAGGGAAGACTTACTACATGTTAAGTACTGGGAATTCTGAGCAAATAAAATAGTGGAAAAGTAAACAAGTTAACCAATAAGGAAGCATGCAACACTGCTGATCACCCTCTCCTTGAAACACTTTTGTTCCTTGGTTATCATGATACCCAAACACAATTCCTCTTCTGCCTCTTCTTTCTGTATATGGAATTTGGAAGTTCTCTGGAGTTCGGCCCTTTTAACAATAGGCCTGATATGTCTCCATGGATGACTGAAGGTGCCTAAGCATATATCCATAAATGAATTCATCGGTTCCTTCCCCGTTCCTTCAAATGTAGCTTAGAAACTGGCCATCTTTGACTCCTCCACTCCTTTCAACATCTATAGCCAATTCATCCGGACAACTCCTGTCCATCTTTGCAGTGTCTCTCCCTTTTTTTGGTCCTAGTTAAGACCTTCATTAGCCTTCACCTAGACTACTACAACCAATTATTAACTTGTCTTTCTGTCTCTGGGTTTAATCTCCTTGCTCAGAAATCTTTGGGTATGTTTCCTGTCACACAGAAAGTAGAACTCAAACTTTTCGGCCAATTTAAGTCTCTCAAAGTTGCAGCACACTTTCCATATTGTCATATTGTCTCTTAAGACTCTTCCCAGAATCTCAAGTATCCTATGCTCCAGACCTCTTGGACTCTTGACGTCCCAAACACATTCACTTTTCTGTTACCATATTCCTCTAATTGAAACACCCTTTCTCTCACCTCTGCCTATTAATATTCTATAGTTCCTAGTAGTCCAGCTAAAAAGATAACTCATTCATGAAGCCTATGTAGTCAGTACTACCTTTCACTAATTTCTCCCTACGTCATACCCACTTAGCATCCTATCTGCCCCACCTTATAGTACATACCACTAACTGCTTTATATTTTACTTACCTGCATATGTGTCTATCTACCCAACTAGACTATCAGGTCACCGAATGCAGGAATCATGGCTTTATTCATCTGTGTGTGCCCTATTACTCAGCCCAGTACCCATGTAACTTTTAATAATATCTGTAGTGGCTACAACTCATGTATTTCCAATAGGTTTAATTCACAATTTTTTATTTCAGTGTCTCAAACTGAAAGTTTGTATTGATAAAAATAAAACAGAGTGGAAAATCTCTGGTCCACTGGACAAATTCATACCTGAATTAGCCTGATTTCATCTGCTACACTGCAAGTTCTCTCAGTGCTTCTCTCACCCTCGTACCCAGTTATCTTAGCTGTTTTTTTGTTTTTTCATTCTTCCCTTCCAATTTCTCTCTTCTTCTCCTTCTTCTTCCCACTGTAGTTCTCTCTCCCCTGCCTCTCTCCTTTTTGTTCTTCCTTACCTCTCCTATTTTTCTTACCTTGCCTCCCTCTTCTCTTTATTCACATCTTTCACTAACATTTTTATGTTGTTTTTGTTATGTGTTTGTCCTTACTTTTCCTTCAAGAGGATGAAAATTATATATGTATATATATGTGTATTATCTCTGAAATAATTATCAAAAAAACCTATAGTTTTAACTTGTTTTTACTTTATATCTGACCTCATTGATTTTTATAGTAAAATAGAAACAGCTAAATATTCAAGATTTCCAGTCCTACTAAGTAAGCCTATAATACCACTTAAAATGCAATCAGTTTAAACTGTTAAGAGAAAAAAAGAAGGTGCTAGCATGTAAACAAGAGAGAATATGAACATAATATCCATACTACTTATATTGCTAAAAATAACACTAAACATTTAAAATCAATTACCTACAGGGGAGGTAAGGATAGGATGGAATCAAGGGGACAGAAATGAAAACACAACTTCTCTAAATATAAATAACGAAGAGTTTTGATTTTGGAATTATATAAATGCTTATACATTCAAAAGTAAAAATTTAAAAAGCAATCCCTGAAAATTGAAAAGAAATTGAAACAAATCTAACTGCATTTGGTGATGCAAACACACAGAGAAACAAGTATTTCAAGATATTTTAGAAATATACATCTTGACTGCATACATAGTGGAATATATTAATGTCCAAGAGAGCTGCCCAGAAATTTTTTTTATTATTTTAAGTTCTAGGGTACATGTGCACAATGTGCAGGTTTGTTACATATGTATACATGTGCCATGTTGGTGTGCTGAACCCATTAACTCATCATTTACATGAAGTATATCTCCTAATGCCAGAAATTTAAATTTCATTCAGTAGGCTTATTGTTAGTAATTCTAGTTTTAATATTTTGAAACTATTTTTATGTATTATCAGATATAGCTAATAATTATAATATTGTTCTTAAGAATGATTTTCAGTAGAAAAGACAACAGTTACAAATGTAAAATCAGAATTTAAATAAAAATACCATCTTAACTTCAGCTGGGTTAAATATATATAGTCCCCTCCAAAACATATAGTCCCTGGTTCTTTCCACTAAAAACTCCTAAAATCAATAACGTAATAAAACTAAGCAACCCCAAAACCCATACAGTGATCTCTAAATATTATTCTTCACTAAAAGGATCAGTTATTTTGAGAAATGTCTGATTAATTATAAATTTATTTAAAAGTTTAGTGTTATTTTTAGTAAATGTTCCATTCCATTCCTCAAAGGACCTCTAGAACAAACAAACAAACAAACAAACAAAAAACAGGATGAGCACGGAAAAACAATGCAGAAGAGGAGGAGAGAGAGGCTTTTCTAGTTTATAAGAGTTATAACCACCCCCAAGATAAAATCAGGTCAAACAAACAAAACCATGAATCTAGCTACATATCAATTTATGTAGCGAAATTACTGTCTATCCAAGACGGTATGAGGAACTCTTTTGCACAGATAGGCAAACACTCTGTTTTGAGTGACAATGCGATCTTCTTCCTCCTTTCTTAATCTACAGACTTCCGTTTGCAAAGAAGCAATAGTTTCTTGTTGCTCCGTTCGTTTTTTCTTATAATGCTGGCACTTCACCTATAAGATATTTTTTAAAAACATAATTATGATATGTACATCTAGGACATGCTATCCTAACCATATTGTACACAAAGGCATCTTCATAGTTTCTATTGAGCTGTTTCATTCAAGAACTTCAGTATTGAGGCTGTTTTTAAATGAGTATAAGCTCTAGGAACATTCATATATCATAAACCTGAAAAAATACAAGTCAAATAACTATAAAATGGGGAAACTACAGTTCATAATTGCATGCATGGAAGACATTTCTTACCAAGTAAAGGAACTCAAGAATTTCCATAAAACTGGTATAAGTTTAAGTTTACATTAAAACAATAATCAGGAAAGAATATTAATTCAGAATTGCAAATAGGGTAGTCAACTTAGGCATTCATGCAATGTGGGCAATTGTAAACTCACAGTAAGTCCATAATCAAGAAATTATCATCAAGAAATAATCAGGGAGAACGACATCACCAAAATGGCAGAGTTGAAGCAATCTGACTTCACTTCCCCCAGCAGAAAACCAAAAGCCAATATCCAATGCCAAGATTATTACCAGCAATATCCCAGAACTCAAATCTAAGGATGGGACAATCCCCAGAACCACAAAAAGAAGTGAAAAAATTTCAAGCAGATGGTAGGAGAATCGGACTTCTGTAACTGTGATGCCTCTCCCCTAATCTGCAAGGAACTGCCTGTGGAAAATTTTCCCCAGACTCAGTTTCTACACTGGAAAAAGTGAGATCAAGACCAACTTCCCCACCATCTTGGGTTCCTTGCAGGAGAACTGTCCCTGCCTCAACCCACAGAAAGCATCACAAGTGCCTGTAGGAAGAAAAACTCCTGAGAGCAACCAAAGACAAAGATGGGAGGTGGGAATAGCAGCAACCCCAGTCTGTAAAATCTGCTTGGTTTCTCAGCCAAAGAAGATGCTAAATCAGAGGGCTGTTCAGCAGCAGCACACTGTAGGAGATACACTCTATAGGCTCGCTGGGTATGAAACCCTAGCCAGCTTTTCCACACAGCTGGAGTATCCCATTTGGGATCTCCCCAACCTAGGACGATCAGTACTCTGAACGCTTGCCAGAGCTGTGGCAAACCTGGACATGAGCTGCCATCTAGTACCAAGGAGGAGGCAGTGACCTAGCATAAAGGAAATTCAACAGGTGAATTGTAAAGAACCTCTATGTAAACATATCCAAGAAAAACCCAAACAAGCCAGACAGTGAAAACTGAAATAACTAATCCTTCAATGAGAAGACATAGATATATGTCCACAGGAAACAAGAGCAAACAAGGAACCATGACCCCCCAAGACGGAAAAAGAAGCCAGTGACTGACCCTAACGAGCCAGTGAGGTGAGATTCTTCAGATCAAGAATTCTTTTTCTTCTTCTTTTTTAAGTCATCTGGTTCTGGGCCTTTATTTGTTCAGAGGTTTTGATTATTGACATAATCCATTGTTACACATCTACTAAAGTTTTTTACTTCTTCTTAAGTCAGTTTTGGCAATTTCTGTGTTGCTAGAAATTTGTCCATTTCATCTAAGTGAGCTAATCTGTTGTCATATAATTGTTCAAAGTATAGTCTTACAATCATTGCTTTAATGGAGGGGTGGAGGTTTAGGGTTTACTACCTTACAACTTTCAGTGATGTTAAATCTTTTCTATCATTGTTTTTGTTTGTTTGAGACAGAGTCTCACTGTCGCCCAGGCTGGAGTGCAATGGCATGATCTCGGCTTACTGCATCTTCTACCTCCTGGATTCAAGTGATTCTCCTGCCTCACTTGAGTTGCTGGGATTACAGGCATGTACCATCACACCTGGATTTTTGTATTTTTAGTAGAGACAGGGTTTCACCATGTTGGCCAGGCTGGTCTGACCTTAAGTGATTCTCTTGCCTTGGCCTCCGAAAGTGCTGGGATTATAGGCGTGAGCCACCATGCCCAGTCCTTTCTATCACTGTTAAAGAATTTTATTTTATTTTTATTTTTATTTATTTATTTATTTATTTTTTTGAGACGCAGTCTCGCTCTGTCGCCCAGGCTGGAGTGCAGTGGCCGGATCTCAGCTCACTGCAAGCTCCGCCTCCCGGGTTTACGCCATTCTCTCAACCTCCCAAGTAGCTGGGACTACAGGCACCCACCACCTCGCCCGGCTAGTTTTTTGTATTTTTTAGTAGGGACAGGGTTTCACCATGTTAGCCAGGATGGTCTCGATCTCCTGACCTCGTGATCTGCCCGTCTCGGCCTCCCAAAGTGCTGGGATTACAGGCTTGAGCCACTGCGCCTGGCCCACTGTTAAAGAATTTTAATGTTATATCTGTATATTCCTTAGTCATTGCTTCTTCCTAATCCCTGTCTGCCCAGGATTCAAAAACTCAGTGAACTCCAATATAACACAGGAAATCAGTTGAGAAATCTATCAGTGAAATTTTTAAAAGGTATTGAAATAATAACTTTAAAAAAAAAATCAAACAGAAATCCTGGGACTGAGAAATACATTCCCTGAACTGAAAAATGCATTAGAGGCTTTTAATAGCAGAATGGATCAAGCAGAGGAAAGAATCAGTGAGCTTGAAGACAGGCTACTTGAAAATACACAGAGAAGAAAAAGAAAAAAGAATACCTACAAAATATAGAAAATTACCTCAAAAGAGCAAATCTAAGAATCATTGGCCTTCAAGAGGGAGTTGAGAAAGAGCAAGGGGTAGAAAACTTATTTAAAGAAATAGTAACAGAAAACTATCCAAATTTACAAAGAGATATAAACATCCATGAACAGGAAGGTCAAAGATCACCAGACAGATTCAATTCAAATAAGCCTACCCCAAGGCATAGAACAAATTCTCACCTGGGCAATACCATACTGGACATAGGAATGAGTAAAGATTTCATGACAAAGACACCAAAAGCAATTGCAACAGAAGCAAAACTTGACAAATGGGATCTAATTAAACTTAAGAGCTTCTGCATAGCAAAAGTAACAAACAGACAACCTACAGAATGGGAGGAAACATCTGAAATTATGCATCCGACAAAGGTCTAACAGCCAGCATCTATAAGGAACTAAACACATTTACAAGAAAAAAGCAAACAGCCCCATTAAAAAGTGGGCAAAGGACATGAACAGACACTTTTCAAAAGAAGACATACATGCAGGCAACAAGCATTAAAAAAAAAAAAAAAAAAAAAAAGACAAGCTCAATATCACTGATCATTAGAGAAACCCAAATCAAAACCACAATGAGATACCATCTCACAGCAGTCAGAAGGCTATTATTAAAAAG